CCTCTTGACCAGCTGTCGATTGGCTTTACTGGAAGATTCATGCTGACGCTGTTGCCGAGGCAATCTGCTTCGATTCCGGTGAAAAGGTGCTAAGCTTTCGTTCGTCATATGACGAACATCACCAGAACAAGATATCATAGTTACAACAAAATTCAAGCTAACGAGTCAAGAAAACTTGAATTTAGTTGTAAGAATGATAGCTCGCTTTGATGATGTTCGTCAAATATGATGGATGAAAGCATGAATCGAAGGAGATTGCCTCGGAAACAGCGTCAACAAGAATGTTCCAGCAATGCCAATCGACAGCTGGTCTTCTGGTGGAACCGAGCTTCGAATATCTTCACCCAACACGTTCACTCAAAATGGAAGTAAGCTCAACAATTATGAAACGAGATTCCTCGAAGCCCAACTTGTCTTCGCCAAGATGTAGTCTGGCCTCGTTTTCGCAACTTGGTCCTGTTGTCAAGGCGACTTAGTTGGACGTGCCTTGTCCTAGGTCGTCTGCTATTGTACTCATCATATTTCCAAGCGTCGGACCGTCGAGTTGGTACATTCTCAGACGTTTCGCCGGCATCGTCGGTGAGTCTTGCCACTCTCAACACCAAGCTACAACTGGGAAATATGATAACTACTACAGCAGAGGACCTATGACAAGGCGCGTCCGACTAAGTCGTCCTCACAATGCGATCAAGTTGCGGAGACAATTTGTATACACCGAAAGGAGATGGCCACAACATCTTGGTCTTCGTATCTACGTCCAAACTACGGTCGTAGGCAAGTTTGTTTGTTTGTTTATGGAAACAGCTGCCTCTAAATCCACTTCCGGCCCATGAATTCTCCCCATAATGGGCATAAACACAGAAAATATGAACTGTTATTAAGACGAAAAGATTGAATTTAGGGGGAAAGAGACTGCATCAGTAAACTTGGATAGACCCACCCAAGTATCCAAGCATGTCAGCATTGGTGAGCAGAATTGCGAAAGGATTGGCAACATTCTTGCCGACCAATGAGCGGCCAGAATTGCGTGTGCCCGTCTCGAAAAGAGCGTGTTTGTCGCCCAGATTCATACCACACGCCAAGCCCGGACCCCCGACCAACCCAGCGGCCACATTACCAACGATATTGCCGTAGAGATTGGGCAGCACCATCATGTCGAATTGGTGAGGACGACTCACCAGTTGCATACAGCAGTTGTCGATAATCATCGAGTTGAATTCGATCTGTACAAAGCCGATTTTTAAAAAAGACCCAGAAACAAACGAAGTTGAGTTGAGTACAACAAATGATAGTCGAATTAAAATTAATTAAATAGAAATATACTACTAATAAAATGACAATAGCAACTTCTTAGTGAGTAAAAATTAAATAATTAATCATAAGGCCCGTGAAAAGGGCATTTTCTTACTTGTGGGAAGCTCTTGGCCACTTCAGAACAAACGTTTAAGAAAAGACCATCACTTAGCTTCATTATATTTGCCTTGTGAACAGCAGTTACCAACCGGCGTTTGTGCTTAACGGCATATTCGAATGCGAATTGGGCAACTCTTGAGTGAAGATAAAGGCAAATGATGAGAGAGAATAAGGAATCAGGGTACATAATTGATACATAAAAAAGTAGATATGAGAAGATTTTGAAGGGGGTTTTAAGAGTATTGAGCAATGCACTTGTCAATTTCACGTAATTCACATGTAGACTTACTTCCTAGACTTTTTGGCTGTAATTATCTTAAGAGACTCCACAACGCCAGGAACATTTTCATGCTCTAGCTGAAATCAATAAAAAAAATCTAATTAATGCTAAAAGATGGATTAATAAGGGCAATGTTAACATTTAATAAAGAAAACGTAGCAGAAAGAGTGAACACGAAACTGAGAAAGACGAGAAAAAGTATGGCAGCGGTGGGATTCGAACCCACGCCCTTTCGGACTGGAGCCTAAATCCAGCGCCTTAACCGCTCGGCCACGCTACCGATGCCCTCGGCTCTCTAGAATAATGACTTTAAGGAATAAATAGCATTATATACTTTGTTTAGTAATTAAGTTATGGATGCAATTACGAGGTGAGTAGCACAAGAGCTAAATAGTATAATGCTTTATTGGAAAGAATGAGTTTATAGGTCGTTCATATGAGATAGAAAAAATAACGAAAGTTATAGTCAGAATGAAATCAGTGGCAAGTGAAGCAATTGCTCCATTCATAAAAGAGTGTAAGGTAGCTTTGGCTCTGTTCAGGTGGAAATTATTCTATCTTGACACTTTGCATCTACGTTTAAAGCGATGCGCGAGAAAGAATAGTGCCAAGTAAGGGGCTAATCCACCGTGTCAACCAATGTTGTGGATGAAGAGAGGCGAATGGTAGATATTTTTCAATAGATACGATTTGGGTGCGATGGCAGGTTGTATTGTTGAATGAAAATAAAGGAGAGACAATAGCCAAAGAGAGAAAATAGCGAGATAAAGTAATTTAACTAATAAAATTGGACGCCCAGGATAAAAAGCTTTCACATGAAGATTCATCAAAGTGGGTAGGGGGTGGCGGAATAAAGGCTCAAGCCAAATAATAAAGCAATGCAGTTAAAAGTGCCTGAATTGATGTAAGTAAGATTATATCACGTTGAAAACAAATAAAAGAAGGTTAAACATAAAGGAACGTCAGGAAAATAGGTATAATTCATGCATAATTACTTACTCGACTATACTCGCCCTCAGTGTTCTCGCGGATGATCACAATGTCGATGTTATCATGGCGAGTTGTGACGCCAGGAAAGGAGTAACAACGTTGAACGAAGGTGGAAAGACTTAGAGCCTCACGAATAACCAGGTTCTTCGATGTCTGATCTGGAATATATTGAAAATAAGTGACCAAGTAGTTTTACAGCAACATTAAGTAGTGATGGACAGAAAAGAGTATATGGAAAATATTCTCGAAAACACGTCAACTCACCGGCTGCCAAAAGTGAACCCAACAGTCGAAATCGAAGGGACACCACAAGAGATATTAAAAGAAATGAATAAGAACGGACAGATCGGCATATGGACAAGGAATCCGCTATTACCGCTAGACATACACAACGAAGGATAACAACAATGAGCACGGAGTAACCCATAAACTAGCAAAATTCATCGGCCTTAAACCAAAAATTAAGGATAGACTAACGAATATAATGTACAATTTAGCGAAGTATCCCAAAGAATCAAAGACACGAAAATCTATGTAAAGCTTGGATATATAGTCTATGTACACGAACATGTCAGAAGAGAAGGCTCTCATCACAATGATGGAAATCTTAGAAAGAGACCATGGAGACAGATCGAATCCGAAAAAAGTCCCTAACTCAATTGATCAACCTGAGGATACAAAGTACTAAGTGGACATTCAACGGCCGCATCTAAGAACAGATATTTCATCTCGTATTAAGTAGATGTTGAAACTACCAGTAGATCTTGAATAAAAGCCGTATTAAAAAAGTCAGTGGTGGTTTCTGAATCTACTTAATACAAATATAAGGTATGCATTCGATTGTGAAAGTAAATGCAAGTTTGCTTTATCGATAATCCCCCTATAAAAGTGTGATATATAAAAGGCCTAATAAGTTCACATCTGCTGTGTGTGTATGTGTGAAAATCCCCGTTTTCAAGGCGGTCCTCGCTAAGGCTAGCGCACATGTACGATCATAGTTTGGGATAAAAAATGTCGGTAGACCCTTTGAAATAGCATAAACGAGAACCAGAATCGAGAGCCTATACACAGCCAGTTAGAT